CCCTTTCCTTTCTGTAAGGAAGAATAGATATGCTTTCTTCCTCAAGGCATTATGCCTCTTCAGCTTCTGTCCTGCCTGATATAGTATTCCTTTTCATTTGTGTTGTATGTTATTTCATAGAGACTTACAAACCGAAAATACTGTCATGTCCTCATGCCCTAGGATATCAATGCACAAGTACAGCCAAAAAATACTGAATAGGGAAAAGACTTATGTTTAGCTGCTTCACATTCTCTTTTGTGATGTTGTTTTCCTGTGTTCCCTTTTTAAAGGTCTGTTTGCTGGAGAGGGAAATAATAGATAAAAAGGAAAGGAAGTTAAGGGGCTTTAGAGCTGTTAGTCCCTTTTTCTTTATACCACTGACATCACTTTAACAGAGGAGAATGCGGGACACAGTGGGCATAAAAATGCACCCTGAACCTTTTATTAGTCCCACTTCTGTTGCATAATTTTAGCAGGACGGTCTACCCTTCTCCATTACATTTGGGCTACATCTGTCCCTCTGTAAACTGCAGAACTTTGGGGAGTAGGATTTGACTTTCTGTCTGATTCTGCAGCATTTAACATAAGACTAGGGCTACATAAATTATGTTCAATACATCTTGCTACATATTATTAAAAATATACTCAACAAGATACGTCAAAACCTGCAACTAAATTCCCACTGCTACATAAGTAAAAGGCGAAAAGCAAAATGTCACACAGAAACCAAGAAACAAACCCTCCACGTCTTCTGTGCTCACAACTATGAATGCCCATCAGAGCAGTACTGAGGTACGTAGAGCACGAAGTGGTACCTTAGATAGGTAACAATATTGCTCATAAAATGTGTGTTGGCATGCTTTGTTTAAGACCAAGATAATGAGGAGTTGTAAAACACTGTGCATGTCACACAGCTTTCATCTAGCTACAGATGGAAAATTCAAATGCATGGTGATGAATGGTGCTGAGTCACCTGGCTAAAGTGCACCTGTGAGGCTGTGTACCTGTATGAGGATGCCAAATTGAGCAGAGGGGGTTCTGAAATGAAGCCCCAAACTGTTAAATGGGGGTGCAGAGGAGGTGTCCCAGGCCCTAACAGGCCATCCTGCAGTCCTGAAGTTCCAGGTGGACAGCTTGCCTACCTCTGAGATTCCAGCAGGGTCAGATCACTTCAATGGGCCCTGTCTAGCCCCACTCTACAGCAGCTACCCATGTCATGCTCAGGCTCCGTCTTAAAGCTGGTAAGGTCTTCACCCACCTTATGTCCTTAGCCCTTTGTTTGAATTTCACATACCTTGTTCTAATTTCCAGTTTAAATGCATGACCTTATTATGCCCTATTACTTTTAAGCAAACATTCTCCTTAGGTTTATATGTCTCTTCCTCCTGCCTGCTGGATATATAAATGTACTTCTGTTTGTTTCAACCTTTGCTTGCCAGGTTAAACATGGAAATATCTTCCAGCTCATTAGAATTTTCCCTAGTGGTGCTTCTCTATTGTTGTCCCAACATTGACTGAGGATGTCTGGAATCACAGCTACATAGTTAGCTATTTTTCGTGAAAGGTCCTTCCCTAAAACAAAAAATGGTGTTGCATAATATCACAGAAGCTGGACTCCTTGACCCATTATTAGGGTCTCTTTCAGGCCTGGAGACCTCAGTGTCTGTCAGAAGAGAGAAAGCTCAAAAGGGACCGTGCACTACCATAGTTTATCCAAACACAGTGACATTTGTGCTGCTAATTATCAAAAAAGAATATTGTACTTTTCATAGGATAATATCTATCATCTGAAACAATTTCAGTAGAAACTGCCACTTAAAAAAAAGGTGGGTGGGGAAAGGGATAGGGCAGGTGAGACACTATGAGCAGAAGTGGTAGGAATGTTGTGGTAAGGGTCTGTGCCTGACAGGGAGCATTTAAACCAAAGATACAAAATTGGATCCCTTTGTCTTTATACCTGATTTTAGGGCTTACTCCTTTCTGTCCTGCAGGAGGACATGATGTTTTACTTATTTATTTTTATTATTTTTTATTCTAAATTATATTAGAAACAAACGTGGACAGCATCGTTCCTTGTATGCAAATACGGTATCTACAAGAATATAGCTGTCACAGCCCAGACTGTACAAACATACCTAACATCTAGGGTAAATACTCAGGAGCCAAAGACCTTTCCAGCTGCAATATTCTGCTTTTCATAATACAGTTATTTTCAAAGGAATAGACTGTGACACATGCACGGTTCTGGGACAAATTTTAATACTATTGCAAACATACATAGCTACATTATGAGCAAAATTTCTGAAAGAACTCTCAGAACTAGGGACATGATAAGAACTGGTAAGAAATGGGTAGACATTTTTTTCAAAAATACCGTATAGGTTGTCTCTTTTGCAGACTGGTGCTTCATAAATTTGTTTATTTGAGATAATGTATACACAGACAGATCAATGTATAACTTTATAAACCAAGTATACCCCTGATTACATTTTCCTTATAACCTCTAGAGCAGAGTTTTTTGGCCTTTCTGTGGATCACAAGATATTCCAAGTGTAAACTTGCTAACACATCTCACATGCAAAAAACATTGTAGAGCTGATGTTGAGATTCAAGTACTTTTCATTCTTTTTTTTAGCTTCTAGAAGTAAATGGAAAATCCTACCATACATTTCCTAGTTTTCCATTCATTGCTGTGAAATTAACATTAAATGGGGATAATGCTCGTACATGCTTGTTTTTAATTTCTGCTGTTATCCTGGTGAAACATCTGAGTTCTGAAACCTAAGCACCTGCATGTATTTAAGTAGGAACTGTGTTTTTTTGTGTTACATTTCATCCATTATCTTCTGCTGACCTCTGTCAGTGTCTTATTTCCCTGGACTACCGTGTTATAGCCTTAACTATTATCAGGAACACTCAAGCTTTTGTATGTGGTACAAATATGCATCAGTAAATAAAAGCAGCAGCTGTAAACTCTGCATCTATAATCTAGCCTGTTTAATATACTACTCTTAAAAAAAAAAATGAAATACATAACATGAAGCTTAACAACTAGCTCAAGTTTATTTTGCCTGAAGCCACATGACCTTGAACTCTGACACTGTCTGATTTCAGGCTAAACAAGGTAGGTCTGGAAGACTGCAAAGAAACGGGAAATGACTTTGGTGATTCAGTAAGCACACTTGCAGGTGGTTCAGAGAGGACACATGATCATTCAGTAAGGACACGCTTTCTCCTGAGTTGGTACTGAACATGATGAGAGGCACAGTTTTATTATTAAAGATGATGGCCAAAGTGAAATTTCATCCAAGACTTGCATATTGTCTCTTGTTATATTTTATAAATAATATCTTTCTATCTTTGCACACTTTATGTCCAAACTAGATACATGGATCAGAATATGAAACAAACCAATTATAAAGCATTACTGTATTATTAACTAGTAGTAATTTTTTTCTGTCTCAGAATTAGAGAGATGTAAACAAGAAGAAATTTGATCTCGACAGAGCCAAATACATTTTTTGATGAAATCTTTTACAGAGATTCTTTGAGAACAAAATTCACTTTCAGCACCAGTTCCTGTAAAAGTGTACATTTACAAAGCTGTGTGCAGCTGAAATGGAAACATAGTACAATTTAAGCAGATTTAACAAAGATTACTTGGGCTTGTCACAGGTTTTGGAGGTCTTAGTAATAGCAGGTGTCCATAGACATTACGGGCTTTTTTGCAGCCAGTATTACTTTAGTAAAATTTATTATGCAAATGTTTTTATGGCTTTAAGATAACATATTTTACAGTGCTACAGCAATCCTTGGATAACTGTAATTAATAAGAATATTAAGGTGTACAATTTGTCATCTCAAATTCTTTTTTTTGGCAGTGGATATTTTGTTTCTCTTGGTTTCATTCTGCTGCTGTATATTTTTTCTTCTGAAGTGGCACAACTCCTTCAGATACCAGATATGGGGTTTAGTTCTGTTGGTTTATACATTGACCTGGACCATCTACTTTTTAAATAGCTGAGACAAAAATGATGAAAGATGACATATATAGGGAATAAAAATTATGTTCTCCCTTAATTGTTTATGGACATATTGATAGTAAAGTAAGGAAGGAAGTACCCAAGGACTTTAATGCCATGCCTTAACCACAGGCAAAAATAGTAAGAACCAAAAATATATCTGCACAACTCAGAAAAACTCTCTTGGAAATTTTGTATTTTTTTTTTCTCTTTTCTTCTAATTGTCTGTCCATATAATGTTCCCTCTGTGTTTGAGTAAGCCTCGGCTCAGGTGTGCTGGAGTAAGATTTTCCTTAAGTAAACAAGTAAAGATGTCTATCTAATCTTAATTTTAAATAAGCCTTTGCAGTCACATAGATAATCCACCATGCAACTTGGCATATTCATTATTTGGACAATACAGAGCCTGTTTAAATTAGTATCAGATTATCAGTTAAAAGCTTTCTGCAGTGTAAAGTCATTCAAGCTTCACAGTAAGTAATATTTAAAGTCTTAAATCTAGGATAATGTTTTTACATTTTAAACACATTTTTCAAATATTAGATTATGATGAAATATCATTTGTAGGTGACCTTCTGAAGGTCACAGTGAAAAAAAGACGTTTAGGTTGTTTTGGTATCAAGCATATCACCAACAATGGCAAAACAGGACAGATTGAACTTATAAACATTGCATCAGACCTGTTGCTAGAGATAACATGTTTGCTAAACTTCTCAAAATGAGCTGATACCACAAGTCATCTCCTTGTGATCAGCACTAGGACTATTTCCTGCTAAGACTGGATAGTAGACTGGTAAACTACTGCTTGCCCAAAATATTGAACTTATGAAGTGAGGCTGTCTTTATTTTGTGTAAATAAGTACTAGCATTCTCTGCTGGAAGGACAAAAAAGGTTGCTAGCAAATGCAAATAATGGAAAATACCAGTATGCTAATGATAAAGACATTTAAAATTCATCTATTATTAAGGAAATATTGACAAGTGCAAAATTCATACCTTTCAGTCTTTTCAGACAACATAATGTGTATATTTTGAATTCAGCAAAACTGGGCTTTGATATTTAGATAGGTTCTCTTGTTATGGCACAGGATGCATCTTCTTGAATTTTGGAAGCTAAAACATAGTAGATTTAGTACTCCAAGAAATAAGGTAGAAGCTTGTTCAGGTTTTTCTGTGTCCTGTTCATCATCTTCTCAGAGATTGCTTCACGAAGTTTTGGAAGCTTGCAAAAACTAGAGAAAGCATTGAAAGAGTCCACTTAATTAGGAAGGCAGGGGTAAAAAGAATGTGAAAAATTAAATACATAAAACTAGGCAAGAGCACTTGCCTGCATTTTCAGAAAGAAGTAACTTGAATTGGTAATGGTATTCTCATAAAAGTTCATAAGTATTAAAATTATTCCTTAGCTCTTCAGGCTAATTTTCAATGGACTGTAAAGTCAGATTGTATTGTCATGACCCTGTCTAGACCAATGATGAGTCTGTGGGAACTAACATAGCCAGGCAAAAAAAAAAACAACAGCAAGTATGCTACAAAAGTTTTTCTAGTGGTAGAACAAAAAAGGATGAATATTTGGTATGAAGAAAAGTGACCCCTATGCTTTTGACAGAGAAAATAGCACACAATGACAGAGAAAATAGCACACAACTTAAATGCTCTTACTATCTGAAACTTACTTGAAAACCCACTAAGGAAGTAAGGACTACTTTACTTTGCTGAGAATGCAAGATAAAATTAGCTTTGCTTTCTGTGCTCTGTACCTCAGACACTTTTGCATTAACACAAGCGGCACTTTCAGTATGCCTTTGACTCAGTTTTGTTTCATAACTTGGAAGTTTTCTTAGCAAAACAAAATGTCATTGAATTTGCACTTAAATGCAAATATGTGGTTCTCTTCAGGTTGGAGGAGAGCAGAATTCAGTCATGACCTGTTACTGAGTATTCTGAATATGCTGAACAGTTAAATTTTTGTCTGCAATTGTTACGAGACTGTGACAAAATCTGTGCTGTAGGAATGCATTCACAGCCAACTTGTCTGCTTCCAACTACCTTAATTTACCTTCAATGTAGCATGTGGATTAATACAGAAGAGACACGTTGCCTCATGTTCTCTTACTTCCTAGTTGCTAGAAACGGTTCATTTAAGAGAAGTAACTACTTCATATTGTGCTTCCTGATAAAGATTATATGCAGCATTATGTTACCAACATCTTCATAAATGAGACAGTTGTTTGGCATAACTGAAATAGAACACATTTCCCTGGCATACATTTTCCATATTTATGAGATGTATGTACAATGGGTACAAAGCCGTATTTTCTGCCATAAGCCCTCTTCCTATTAACATAATATGAAAACAGCACAACCACTTTTTCCCCCTACAACTAAACTTAATTGATGAGCAGATATCTAGGCATATCTATGCTTCACTATTTTTAGAGTCACAAACAACATTTGAGTATTAGTGTTGATGTATTTTAAAAAATTAAAGCTCTACTAGACCTGCGAAAAGGACACACTTCTCATCAGTTTCCTCCAAAATGCCGTTTAGCCAAAAGTGAGTTAAAATGATTACAAAGGTACGAGTGTTTGAACTCCATGTTGTGTTCATGGTGTACATGCCCTATTAGTCTGTTGCTTCAGCTACAAATGCTATCTTGAATTTTTCTGTCCTTCTAAGTATGCATCGCCATTACTTAACTAAACTTTATGGTCAGTTTTAACTTTAAGGACACAGTATTTGCTTTCTAAATCCTATGATACTTAATGATATTCTCATGCTAGATTTGTATTTAATTCAGGTTTTGAGTTACACTCAACCTCATTGTTCCAAGTAATAAGAGTTGATTAGGATGGATATGCACAATACTGCACATAATAAAAAAGTGAGAGACAAAGTTAAATTGGAAAGCCAAGACTGGAGGTAAAAGACCAGCAATTTGGGGTGATTCCATTTTGGATGACCAATGTGTATGCAAGGCCTTGTTTTCAGAAAGTTTCACACAATGCCAAGAAGATGTATGATCACTTCTTGCTAAGCAGGCTAAGTCTGAAAAACACACAGCATTGTACATTTACAAAGGTGGTGTCATCCTCCTTACCTAGTTGAAAAGAAAGTGAAAATCTTCCATTCTCAGAAATGTGGTGGTTTTCTTTTCATACTGTCTCCACCAAGATAAGACAAAGTGTCCTAGAACTTATGTTTTGGTACCATCACCATTTGGAATGCCCCCCACATAAATACAGCTGTAATAAACCTCATGGGACTGCCTTTGAAATTGCTTACATGTATAAAAGATTTTTGCCTTTTGGTGTTATAAACAGACTTTATGAAGTATGAAGAGCAAGAAAAATATTTTAAAATTATCTAGAAATTGATTCTTTCATTTAGAGAAAAAGGAAACTAAGAATGAAGCGAATAAGCTCATAAGGTATTCTTAAAGGAATGTACTTTTATCAACAATTCAAATAACTGCAGCAGACATGGTTCAGTATTTCTGCAAGTAATGATTAACTTATCAATTAAAGATACATGGCTTAAGATTAAAGCAAATTTCCAGCTATCTATCTTACGCATCACTAAAATCTAAACATCAGTAAAAAAAAAATAATTACATGCATCTCTTCATGCATTAGGAAACATTGATTAGCTAGAGCACAAAACATGCAACAATCTTCCTAAAAATAAATGCTTCCTAATCATTTCTTATTCTGTCCCTCCAATGCCACAGTGGAGTTGCTAAATCCCACAATTACAAGTAGCAACAGAATTATTTTCCCATTGATCTTCCCATTGATCCCCTTATCTAGTAGATTTAAAGCACTAATTAGACTGAATATCCTAAGATTACTTTGCATTAGGAATATTCACCCTTGAAAACTATTTGTATGGAATAATCCAAATTTTAAAAGTCACTTAAAATTAACCTTCCTGACTTTTACTCCCAACACATATCCACAAATCTTGTTGAACGTACTTTCTCATAGATTCAGCCAGTATACCATAATGAAATGCTATATGATCACCTGTGTCATTGCATGATGCTATCCCAAGAAAGAGGGCTTTCTCAAAGTGAGCTTAGTGGATCCCTGCTCTGGGATTTATACAATGCAATAAAAAATGACAAAAAATGCAAATGCAAATATATTTTAAAATATAATATTAGCATTGTCAACATGTAAGACGTTATTTACTGCCCAGAAAAAAAATATATTCAGAATAGTGTCATTTGTTTCGGGGAATGCACAAAAAAGTTTCAACAACTAACACACAGTGTTTCTTTGCAAAATAGCCCTTTGCATGATGCTGAAGCTGAAATGGTTTTCACTCAGTGGTATCTACATTCTTGTAAAAGAAGGTCATTCGTCTCTATTGTGGCTACTCCTTTTGGATTACCTGCCTTTGTCTTTACACAAGTCAAACAGTAAATAAAGGTTGTCTGTTAATATAGATTAGAGGTTAAACTGTTATTGATTGTCACATTTTATAGAGAGATTCTGTCTGTTACTGACCTTCTCAGAATTCTTTGCCTACAAAGTAAAAGTCACGTATTTGTTCCAGGCAAAACGTTTGCAATGAAAAAGAAATTACACTCTTCCTGAAAAGGTACAGACATGCATACAGAAACTGAGGTACAATGAGAAGTCCTGATGAAAAGCAATTGCTCAGTTGGTGTGTCACACATTAACATCATGGCATGTCTCTAAGCATATTAGGTAAGGAAATCATTGAGAAACAACAGATTTTCTCCTGCAAGTTTTGAGGTTGTCTTTTGAACGTACTCTGGAATTTGGATGTCGCTAAGCGTTAAATAATATATATATACATATATATATATGACATATTTTCTTCTGAGTCTATCTAGAAAATAAAGCTATATAAACAAACAAAAAATAATATTATTTCATTTGTTCATTCAAGTAGACATAGCTGAATAAATATCCTCAGTTTAACAACCACTCACTGTAGTGTGCCTTAACTGCATTAATAGCATGCCCTCATGTTGGTTTGTGGCAGTACTTCTGCAACGTACCCTACGTTAGAACACACCTCAGAAATAGGTTTGTATGGGTTGCCACAACTTTGAAACCAGGACAGTACTCTCTGACTGCATATGTTGTGGAGGCTTCTTGTTAAAGTGGATGAAACTTCTGGTCTGAACATCCTCAATTGTGAGGATGTGAGAAATCCAGACTGCTTCTCCCATTATGCTAAAAATGTACAGGAGAGAAGAGAAGGAAGGAAGGGAAAGGAAAGAAAGGAGAAAAAAAAAAAAAAAAGAGAGAGAGAGAGAGAAAGAACCTCTTACAAATGTAATTCTCTCTTGTGTAAATAGCCACAGTCCTGTTTCCTCACCCAGATCTAGGTCTTTCAGGCCCAGACCAGACCAAATTCTGGCCATTCGAGAAGCTTTAAAAGCCACTTCCTCTTGTAGCCCCTCCAGACTGCTGAGTTGTCACTTCACCTGTGCACACAATACAACATTAGACAGAAGTAAATGAACCATTATGCTTCATACCTATCTAAGACTTGGCCTTCTTTCCTAGCCGATCTTGTTTGACCAACTGTAGGACAAAGTGGTCGTAGGAAGCAGGAAAGGTCTTAAAGTCAGTGGGATAACTGTAGTGGTACGGCCCTACGTAAAAACAAAAGCAGATTAGAGAAGAGAGTGCTCTAGAGCACACTATGAGGTAGATTATAACTGGTTAGCGAAGAAACTATCTAACATTGCTTCTGCGTTATGTCTTTGCAAAGGATTAAATGATTCCATCATTCTTGTCTTCCAGAACAAAATGGTCTGCAGGATCCTGGTTGACTGCTCAGACTAGCAGAGGTAAGAGGACAATGGCTTTACTTATTGCACCTTTCTTGTTTCTAAAGTAAAAACACTTAGAAATACTAAAATATTTTGAACCACGAACTAAGGTCAGGGTTCATTTCCCTACTCCTGCCTGGGCAAGTACCTCTGAAGTCTGCTTTGCCTACTGGAGAAGCGCTCTGATTAGTTTAACATGTTCATTTATTCTTCTTCAGAGTAAACCCCAACTTCTCAAATTCATTCGTTAAAAAGCAAACAAACAAACAAACAAAAAAACATAGAGAAGTAGGCCTTTATATAGTGATATATTACAAATTTCTTTATAAAAATATATGAAAAATAAAATAATGAAAAATAGCCATGAAACATCATAAAGAAAAGAAGAAATTGTAGTATAAAAATAAGACAAACATATTTTCCAGAAACTTCTCAAGTCCTCTGGAGGATGTTTATCTGGAAACAATTACTGCTGTAAAGGAGAATGGGCTGGATCTGACTGTACTAGCCACAACACTAGAGACAATATAAAGTAAGCAAAATGTGACATAAGACTTCAGTTCCTCAACAGCATTTTCATTGCTTGCTTCTGATAACAACTTTCTTCTACCTAAAATATTGTTTAATTCAATTATGTTGTCCTCCTTGAATCATATATTCTAATTCGAAAATAATGTTTACAGGTTTGAAGAGTGTTGGTAGTCATATACTTTTTAGACAAATCATACCAAATCGTGTAATGGTATTTGAGAATGGATTGGATTGAAATATGTCTTGCTTCTCATCTTTGTAACTGCTTGCTTGGGTAATATGTCACTTTAATGACCAGAGTTTTCCTTTTTCCAGTCTCAGTGCTGGAAAACACCAAAATCCTCAAATCAATCTTTTTTTTTTTTTTTTTGTTTTCAGCATGCTGCTTCAGAAGTATGCTTACTCTTGTGAAGTGTGCTTACTCTTGTTTTTTGACTGCCCAAAGCAGATGAATACCTCCTAATTTTTGTTCAGCTTACAAAGAGTTTCTTATTTCCTTGCATTTGTTATTTCCTTGCACTTCTACTTTAAATTGAATCTTGTCTCTAAACACCTCCAAATGTTCACGGCAAATTTCTTGACAGTTTATCTTTTCTACCGATCCTCCTTTGCATATGCTTCTATTTCTCTCTGAAGCATCCAAGCATTTACATAAAAAGTAAATTCCATCTCTTTTTTTTTTAAAGTGTATCTTAATTTAGTCAAACTATAAGTCCTAAACTTGGTAAGGTGGTAACTGAGGAATAGAAGACACTTTAATGAAAATAATTGCCTTCATATAAAAGTGACAAAACAGTAAACCTTTTTGTGATGTATGAGTGATTATGTTTCATATTAAATGAATGAGTTGTACAAAAACATTTTCAATTAGTATAATATAAATGGTGAGGGATGCTTAGAAAAACAGTGCCCTTTGCTGGGAGTTTTGTGCTGAATTTCCTGATTATATTGGTTTTGAAAGCTCACATGCAGAAATTTTATTTCAGTTTCCCTTTTTAATGAGTTAATTCCTGGAGGGAATATTTAATACATTACCCCTAAGAATAAAAAGTGTCTTCCTTATGTCCTGAATTACCTTTAGTACTGGCTAAAGAACGAGATGGATAAGATTGGGAATGAAAAGAAATAACATTTCCCATGACGTTTTGTTATTCACAAATGTGTATGTTAGATCTCTCAAAGTGCACATCTGTAAAACTAATACTCAAATAGCAGTATGGGTATCCTCAGCTGTGCACTGGGGATCTGGACTGCTTGCTTCACCAGTTCTCAAACAAGAAGACCATCATGTGCATGACAGCTTGAGACTTAAGTGCTAGACTGAGTTCCTCGCAGTTCATAAAACATGAATAACAGAGATACTACAGTACAAATGTTTTCTTTAAGTAATTAATCCTATTAATGATGCACAAGCTGGGACAGAATCCAGTTTACATGCTGGTTTTACAGAGGAAAAAGTAGGAAAAAATCTACATTAATGAATAAAGTGGTCTGACAATTCTGAATTTAAGGCAAGGAACAAACTTGGGTAGGAAGGGGTGCTATTTATTTATTTCCTTTTCGGATGGTAGCTGTGCTTTAAAAGAGCTTTCATTTTGGCTTTGGTAGCTTGGATTCACTGATGTCTTCTTTCTTGAAGACATGGAGGGAATAATCACTATTGTGAGCATGCTTTGAGAAATACAGGCTACTAGAATAAATGAATTCCCTTTCTTACATAGGAGTATGATCCCTGAAAACAGTTTAAATCCAAAACCAAATTAATCCACTTTCTTTCCTCTGTGAGGGTCACAGTGGCAGTATGGCACAGCTAGACTGCCATACTTACTGTTTCTGTCCCAAAATTTCATTGCTTGCATTGCTACCCACATTGGAATATTAGAGCATACACTTTCGGATGCAGGGAAGTTAACATTTAAACAGTTCAGTCCACGGTGCTTCCACTTGCTGCTTATACCATTAAGGCTTAGACAATAACAATCAAATTTCTAATTGTTGATGAATCTTATATCTTGGCAGATGTGTTACTGGAAAAGTGTATCATCCAGTGCACACTATCAGGTGCAGGGAAAGACTAAGGTGAGAGCTCTCTCAGTGTGCCTGGATTTATAGGACAAGTCACCTGTCAGTAGCTCTTGACAGCCTCATTCCGTATTCTACTTTGCTCACTTTATATATGGTGCTATTTCTTTTTCATACAGTTTTCAAATGTTAGGACTGACTTCTTTTATTTATAGCTAAAGTCAGCTCCTGCGTTACTTCTAGGAAGTGGAAGCACCTACCATTTCTTTAGACTGAAATGCTGTTGAAGTGTGAGTCTAGCATGCATCAATCCAGTACTAAATTACACTAATCCGTTATATGATTTATCTAGCTTCCAACATTCTTGAGAAATTAGCATAATAAAGAATGTTTGTGAGATGTTTCTGTAGTTAAATGTCAGCACTAACATATCAGAACACACAGAAAAGGGTATTACGTATAACTATAGATACTGTGCTGTGATTAAATGTCTGATTCATCATAAAATACTTTGTCTGTGGTTCTGAAAGAATCCAGTAATGTAAGAGACTTCACCCATTTATAGTTTACAAGAATTATTATCAACTGTCAGACTGATTCCTGGAATGGTCTTCCAAAACCTTATATGTATGTTTTTTCATTGTTGTTGCTGTTTTTTGTTTTGTTTTGTCTTCTTATGTACTTTGTTGGTTAATTTGAAATTACTTTATTAGAGAAAAAAAAATGAAAGCAACAGTATTTATGTAATAAGGATCTGAAAGAAAAAGCCCTGAAGTAAAGCATAACTCTAGCATTACTTTTTTACCTAATTATTTCTTGGTAATAAACTAAGTGTCGTGAAGAAATGGAGAGAAATACCTCGTTACCTACTTTTGGTAACATGATCAATAATATTGCAGAGAGGTACTGTAATTGTTGTCTTTACAGTTCAGCTTGCACAGAATCTCAAGAGAAACCTTAACTTTGACATGTAGAATTATTTGTTAAACACTGTCTGTTAATTAGTGCTCATCAGTGGAGTCTAGCATACTTGGAGGATGGTATTATCATCACTTAGTTGGCCTATGAGCCAGCTAATTCTGAGATGTTAACAAGTCCACTTATCCTCTGCAGACTTGATGTTTGATTAGACACATATTTAAAGGTTTATTTTGTGTCTTATTTCATCTTATTTTCACGTTCAATTCCTTGTGAACCCAAACAACTATATGATGTCTTTCATTGTTCATGATACGTACAGCAGAGAAGTCAAGTTGTTCATCCTTATTCCCATTTGGATTTGCCAAGTCTTTCACATTTTGTGTGAAGTTCACCTGGTTGGTCCCCACCTCACCCTCCCTTGCTGTGGCAACTGCAGCTCACTAATATTAATCACAATCTCTCTATTGCTTAATGATCCTAGCTGCCAAATGCAAGAGGGAGGCAGAGGCCATTGTTGTATTTCTTTTCCATGTCCCTTCCTCTGCTAAATGACCCGATACGCAGGTGCAACCCCCGCAGTATGTGATTCACTTTATAGTTTGAGATCCTTACTGGGTCAGAAAAATGTTGATAGTTATACATACTGCATTTGTATACTTTTTTCGTCACTTGTCACATATCCAATTCCTCTGTCTCGCTGATTTTTTTAACATAAATATTGACTTTTATTTCTGTTAGTAAGTTCTATTTTTTATGCTCTATTTTGCGTATCTGTTTTCAAGTTATCATTCACATTTGTACCTGTTCTAAACAGGTACAACAGGTACATTTAACACAATGTGGCTGTTATCATGCTGTGAGAAATCCAAGACAGTGTGGTGAGATGAGGTCTTAGCCCTTGATGCTACGTAGTTGTCACAAAATGACCATGGTTAACAAGTTATTAAGTCACACTTATTTCAGACCAGTCTTGTTCATATTTGAAAGACTGTTAATCTGCTCCAGTCCAAGACCTGAACAAAATGCTAGTATTTCAGTTTGGTTATTTGTTTCAGAAGATAATATAGCCTCACTCATGTCTGCATGTATAGCATGAACCAGGCAGCTCATCCAAGGAGACACACAATGTACATATACCTCACCAAGGCTCCTACAAATGAATTTAAATCTTCATGAAGCTTAACAACATTGTTGTCTGTCTCCAAGGGTAGATTTCTATGCAGACAGACACAGCCAGCATATTTAAATATGAGATTTTCCACAAGATGAAGACAAAAGCCAAAGTCAATTTACAATTTGTTAGAATCTGCACCCCTCAGTACCACTTCTGTTTCTAAACTTGGTACTATTTCCTGGGTTCAATATAGAAAGCAATCTCAATGATTTATTTATTTATTTTACTGTGTAACGGCAGGTAAACCACAGCAAACCACACTTGCATGTGAGATTAGACCTTGCAGAGTTATTCTCCAGTAGAAGCTAATTTCAGCAGGGGAATGTCTGACCCTCTCATCTGCTACTGTCGTCAATAGAAAAAAGAATTCCTTTAAGATTGTTAGAAGAAGACTGAATTAGCTAGTCCAGATGGCACCAAGGAAGCTAATCACTTGGTTGGTTCAAGGAGAGCCTAGTGTGAGTTGCTTCCTTGAGTGTCTTCCTTCCTCCTGGTATATTCTTCCCCCTAGGATCACAATCACTGAGTAGGAAGCTAATACAATAAGACTATTAAGACAGTGCTATTAATTATCTGACTTCTATTACATACTGGTCATTTCACATTTTCACCGAAATATTCAGACAAGCATATTGCTGTTTTCAATTTACTGTTTAATGCATTTTAGCTATGGGAAGAAGGGCCTCTAGTGGCTTCTCTTCTGTTGCTCTGCAGTTCTACCATTCCAATGTTCAGATGTTGTATTACTAAGAGTGCATTATGTGGATTTTGTGACATATTTATGTTTATGCAACACGGACATCATTGAAAAAAAATAAGTCCCCTGTGTTTTGTTTTGCTTTCATTATTATTTCAGAAAGACATTTTATGAAAAGCCTTAGTTA